AATTAAGGGGGTTTGCCTGCGCACCTTGGTATATACGCAAGGAAAACATACATAGAGACCTTGAAATACCAATGGCAGATACAGAAGTGAGAAACACCTGGCAAAAATACCTGTCGAAAGTGCAAACTCCTCTAGCAAACGTTTTATCCAGAGAGGCGACCGCAATTAGAAATACACGTATGTACTTCATTTTTTATTTAAATTAAATTTCTATACCTTTTGGTTGTTGGTCGAACCACGATTCCGACCTCTGGCCTACCGAATGTCAGTACACAATGCTAACCATTCGGCTATCGCGGCCGCCAACAAAAACATTTTGTAAAAATGTACCTAATTATGGGCTCAGAGATCGAATAAAATTTAAAAAGAGAAAGATGCTGTGAAATTTACTTTTCCATAATTTACAAAAGCTTCCTCTAACTCGAAATACATACATACATACATATACTACATTTTTTTTTAAAGTAAACGAAATTTAAAAAAATTCTAATTAGTAAAAATGACGATATTTTGTTCGTTAATAGAACTACGAAGTTTTAACAAGGATACAATTGGAAATACGTATTCATCGAAATTTAAATGCAAATACATATCTTCACGTATGTAAGTTGTATTTCTATAAATAAATAAATCTAATTCTGAGTATTTTACGCTTTCATGGGCAAGCAATTTGCAAAGCGCACAAAAGCCCACACTCAACTTCAAAACAAATTACTTTAGTGCTCGAATTTCTGGCTGTTACCGTAGTAGTCCATAATGAATCGCATTCAAATAAAGGTTGTCGAGTCTCAGCAGTGCAGTGCATGGTGTCGCCTCGGCATCAGATTAAATTTCATACAATATTACTTTGGTACGCGTACAACGGAGTAGATGGTGATGAGGTAGGTAAATTTGATGTTATGAAAACCCGCCAAAATTACACGCTTTAAAATTTATGGAAGTAAATAAACGCAAATGCAACGAAGCCAGTACATATCGTACAACATCCGCCGTGCCGACCTACTATTCATTCATGCTTTTACACATTGTGTGCCGTTACTTGTGTATGCAGGAACTGTATAAAATTCAATTCAAAGGCTTCTTCTGAATTACTGAATACTTTTTTGCATAATTAAAATAAAAAACACTATAAAAAAGTTGACTTTAGTCTGGAGCACTCCATATAAAATTGACAGGAAATGATCTTTTGACATTATACATATCTTATTCTAATTTTAACTTCAAGATATTGCCACTTTAAAGATGTCAAAAAATACAATGCAAAGCCTTTGAGCTTTTTGTGAGTACGTTTTATTTTTCTTTAGTTTTTTGTTTACATTGTACGGCTTTGCATTTGTTGAAATATTTTTTTTTTAATTTTAGGAAGTTGAAAATTAATTTTTCAAAAATTAAATTGGTAGCACAAAAATAAAGCAAAAGTTAGAAAATCTTTTTATGTCTGATGGTTAATATTTTTGAAAAACTTTTAAGTGAAACTAGAGTTTTTTTTTGTATCATGGGGTGGAGCCTATGTTTTTTTGTATCAAATTTTCAGGTTTGGTAGTAGGAGGTTCACAATTACCAAAAATATAAATATTATCGCTCGTAAACTTATAGTTTAAAAGTTATAAACAGTTAGAGTTTTTATTTGCAGATAGCCTGCTTCCGTTTTACTTATAAACACTATATCAACGCTTTACTTGGCAGGCTTTGCCACTCCGCAAAATACTTTAAAAACTGACAATAATAATAATATCCAAGCAACACAACTTGATAATTTCGCATAAAAGATTGTGTGAAAATAAGAGTTTTACTTAAGAACACTCTGCAAGGTGTTTGTAAGTAAAATACAAGCAGGCAGATAGATTGCAGATAAAAAAATTTTAGCTTTAAATGCTGATAACTTTCAAAGTACAAAAAATTGCATGCAATAAAATTTTTATTCCTGGTAATTGTAGGCCTCCTACTACCAACCTGACCATTTCATAAAAAACCACAGGCTCTAGCTAAAATTTCCCATAAATATTATATGTTTGCAGCGAGCAAACTTATTTTCGATTTAATTTAAAACAAATTTATTTCACTTATTTATATGTGTGCGAGGTTTGTTTAAAGGGAATATAGGAATTGAACTTGAAGACAGAAAGAATCGGCCAACAAGACCATTGGAACCATATGGAGAGCTGGTCATTACACACGTACAAATTAACCCATGAGTTGTTGTTTTCTATTTGGTTTATTGAATAATGTAAAGGTAGAAAAGGCATAAAAAATTATATCAAAGTTTTTACGATTTATTTGCAACAGTTTTTAGTATATATTGACAACTCTTTAATACAAACTTATTTATTCAAGACTAAATTTAAAAGAAATCATTGCCTTTTCTTAAGCAGTGGCGTTATTCTTATTAAAATATTGAATTGTTGTGAATGTGAGCTAATTCTGGGGCAATTACTAAATTAAGCCTCAGCTCAAGATCTAGAGCATTTCAGCGGCGGCATGATTCAATTTGTGGACCAAGGGTTTACGTAGCCAATACTACAATTTTTACTCACACCTAAGATATGGGAAAATGTCGAAATTGTTTTGTTTTTTGTGACGGTTGTGTTATTATGGTTCTCAAAATAATCGGTTATTTCCGCAGTTAAATCTAGATTTATCTAGATTGAACTCGACTTAAAGCCGATTGATAATCGTTCGTTAATGTGCATCTTCAGTTTCATCGCTTCGTTTTCGTTCAGGTATTCTGTGCAAGCAAATGCAGAGTGAATTGAGAATACGCGGAAACTCTGTGCGCGAGATGTTTATTCTCTGTTTTGAGAAATTTATTTGTGAAATTATGGTTTTCGGTTATATTTTTAAATAAAAATAAATGGAATATAAGTTGTACTTTTCAAGCTGAAGCGATGAAGAAGAGCACAGAAGTTTAAATGTTTATCGCAGACTTTTAAGGCAACAAGCAAACATATTTTCTTTGCCTGAAATCAGATAATTAGGCGAATAAAAGTGAAATAACAAAAAATCACTTAAAACATATTTCTTGAGGTTTGTGAATTATTTTCGTCTCAGCAAATCTTATTTATATTTATCCGTCCAAAACTTAATGCCTGCGTGCGATCATTGGTTATTTTACCTGCCATAAAACTAGTCACTACTTTGGGATTTTTGGTTCAAAGCTCTTACCAAGTCAGCGTTGGAAACGACTTTAATATATCGACCGTTAGTAGAACACTGACAGAGACCATAAAGCAATGGAAGACACAATTTCCAATATTTGGATTGACGCAAATATGACACATCAAGAGTAATTGAATGCAAATCAGCATTTAATTAACTGTACTGGATTTCACGGAGTAATAGGATCCATCGATGGAACTCATGTCTAAATAATAACTCCTTCTGCATTTTTTTAAAATCAATATTAAAATCTCAAAGGGGTTTCCAGCTTGAATGCTACACGGGCCTGATATCACAAGATGCATATACAGAAAGTAGATGGCAGATATCCTGGATCTGCACATAATTCTTTGGTATGAAGTGTTATCTCTAAGAAATACTATTTTAGGGTCGTTTCAACCGGACAGGTGGTCCTTCCGCATTAATTTTTGTGGCAAATAATTTCCCACCCCTCTTTTAAATTGTGTTCGATAGATATATGACGCTTATTTTCCAACTCTGCCACAAGAATCTCTCAGCGAGTGTCATTAGCAGCTTTAATCTCTGCATCATTTGTTACGCTAAAGGATCGTCAGTAAAATGCTTGACGATAAGAGACGATAAAAAACGAGATAAAACGAGAGCGATAACTGTGACGAGCACACCGCAACTATGACGTTGAACGGCATACCAATGTTACCGTATCGTCATTATCACTGACCTAATTTATTTTAAATTGAATCGTACAAACGAATAAAGAAAAACTTTGTACAAATGCATATGAAATTTCAGAAATATGTCCGAACGTAGTGCATTTCGATGCATCCTTACATCTAACCATAACGGCCAAGAACGGGTATACGATAAAATGACAGATTTTTACGCTTACGATAACTTACCATAACATGAATCATCCATCAGAATTTCAAGGTCCTATGATTTATGGTTACAATGTTTTGCCTAAAGTAAATTTCGCTTTCATCAAACTTGTGGCGAGCGTCTTGTTGGTTTTCTACCAAAGCCATGCCGCCACCAAAAGACTAATGGTTTTTTTTTATTAGAAGCATTTATCTCATGTCGGAAATACTATCGGAGAGCTGACATTCCCTATCGGAGTGCGATTCGTAAAATTGACTAGTTGATTTCTTAATTTTCCCTAATTTTTGAATGTTGTTTGGCGTATTAGTACTAAAAATATTCAATAATCAACAAATTAAATATCAGCGATATTCTCCCGAGCTTCTCCTCCAATTTGCGGTATTACAAATGAAAGGAACTACAGTTTATTCTAAACCGCCTCTGAACGGCCGATGGATTTTAATGAGAAGCTTTTAAAAAAATTAATTTTCTACAATTTTGGATGTTGGTCGAACCAAGAGTCGAACCCTGATCTTCAGAATGGCAGTACAAAATACTAGCCATTCGGATATTGCGGCTTCCAAGTCTAACATTAAGATGTCTGAAATTAACGAACACTTTGAAGCTAGGGACTGTGTTTGACTTCTTGTAAAAATCTTTTGTATTATCATCTTTCAGGTAATTTTATAGACTATAGGAGGTGGATATTTTTACAGAAAACAGTATAGAAATTTGCGCATTTTTTGCTTCCGTGATTGTAGTCAATTCCACAGTGAAAATTCAAAGTTTTGACCTCCTAGCACATGCGGAAACCCTGTCGCTTGCTACAGTCGCCGAAAATTTTCTTCTAGTACTATTATTTTACCAAAGATCAAATCAAGTAATAGCACGGTGTTTAAATATAATCAATGGATAATTCTTAACTCTTTTTAACTGTTTTTCAAAGCTATTGTTTTAACTGAAACAATATCTTGTTTTTTATTAATTTTGATGGTTATTTAATTTACCTGGTTCCGGGGTTGTAGTTTGTTCATTCTCGGTCGTCGCTATTGCGGTTTTATCCAAAACAATAATAGAGAAAATCAGCAAAAATAGTATCCATATAGACTTATGCCGCAAATGTTGCAGACTTTTCTTCGGTTTTAGAGACAGCATAATACTTTATTTATTCTTAATACACTTAATATGTTTTAATTTTTTAACACATATGTATGTCATATAAATATTTTACATTTACAGTCCTTTTTCATCAAAGTTATGTATACATTACCTAAATATTTAGAGTTAAATATAGTAAATAGTTGATTAAGTCGAAAGCATGATGGACAACAATTTAAAAAGTCGCAGGAAATGATTACATTCTTAAAAGATATAGCATAATAATTAAATTCAGCAACTGTGTTTCCCTTTCTACTTTTTTTTAATAAAACTTAAATCCTAAAACGGAATTTGTGGCTTGGACCTTTCTTGGTGCATGGTACGCTATTGTGACCATTGCATTATGCAATAGTTGGTCTAAAAAAGAGAGACATACGCAAAATTGGGCTGCAGACCTATATACATACATATTAATTACACTTTTCGAATGTTTGAAAAAATCTTTAGAGACCAGAAAGCTTCAACTAATCTTTTGAAATAAAGTCCACTATTTATTTGCGTTCCCCGTTGTTTTAGTATTGATTTGGATGCTACGCGTAAACTTCAAAAGGTAATACAATATGAAGATATACAAACACGTATGTATGTTCACTAAACCCTCAACACCGTAGTTAATAACTGCTTTTGCTTCGATTGTTAAATTCCCTTGCACAATGCAAGTCGCAAAAATTTCTCCACTTCATAAATTACATATTGAATGACTTTTATTGAAAGAATTCTCTTGAATACATATGCACGTGTTCGTATATACATATTTAAATGAAGAAAATGTAAAGTGTACGCGCATACAAATTCACTTTCAAGTTAACACAAGAACGCGTAGTGACGTCGAAATACGTGAAACAAAAGGAAAAATCCACTTTTGTTCCAAATATGAGTTTTTTCCCATTTTTTGTGTTACACAAATAACGTTACACATACAATAAGTATATTATTTTATTTATGTGTATACGTTAGCGCGTATGAGGTATTCGGTTATGTACATCCTATAATACATATATATGTAAATATATATTTACACATGTACATATTTCTATAGAACTTTTTACTTTATGGATCTCTTTTCAAGTTTCGCTGCAATTTATATCCAGCTTCTTTCTTTTGATATGCACACACCAGAAGCGATACAGAATAGAAGAAATTATTGAAAACACACTTCAAAGAAATCTAATTATTTTATTTTTTCTTCAGAAAATACATTCTTCTTCGATTTTTCGCACTCACGCACAGGAATTTCACTTCCTCATCAGCGCCACTATGCACAAGCATTAATTTGCAAATTGTTTTTGTTCCATTTTATCTATTAGTTGACATATAACGCTTTGAAACACAATTCTTCTAATTCAACCGACCAGTTCGAAACAGCGACACGAACTAAAATCGAAAGCTGTTCACTTGCAATATTTATACACATACGAGCGGAAGTGTCCGTCGTCCTGCCATAAGGACATGCGTGCTTGTAAAAATTCTGCTATATGTTTTATCGAAAAGCTCCTTATCTAGAGCTTTTGTGAGAACAACGTTCTCTCTGTTGCTTTCCCTATCAACTTTATTTTCAACCTTTGCTCTTCCCCACTTACTTTTAGCCAAATATGGCCCATCGCAGACAGCCGGTATTTGTTTATTTTGAAAATTGCACACAAGCGGCTTTTTAGGCGCCACCTGATCGGCTTTTAGCGGCGAAGTGTCAATAGTTGGGCAATAAAAATTTTAGTATGGTCAGACGCTTGTAGCATCGTCATCTTCTCAAAGTGTTGGGGTTGTATTTATGGCCTATTGATTGTTGAATACCTCTTAACGATTTACCTTTCCATTGTCTTTCTCACTTATATACTTTTCACTACTGCTTATTCCTATGGATATGGATTTTTCCGCTGATGTGTGCCCTATTATGTCAACGATCTTTGATTTTGCGTAGAGCTGTAAAATCAAGGAGAGCGTCTAACGCTACAGTAGGAAACATTCTCGTACATCCCGTTATACAGACGCATTCTGTTCTTTGTAGCTTTGTAAGGACAGCTCTCAACTGGCTTTATGCTATATTGAAGGAGTCTTCGATCTAAATTACATGCCCAAACTATGAAGGGAATCGAAAGTTGTCTTTATTCCCAAATGTGGGAAGGCGACTAATTGCAAACCGAAGGATTTCAGGCCTATAAGGAATGGACAGGCCTATAAGTCTGACATCCTTCCTACTTAAGGTAGCGGAGCGATTGATTGAGATTCACATCAGGTTTAATGTGGATCATAATCTCTCATAAAACCAGCATGCCTATATGACAGGCAAATCTACGGAAACGGCGCTTCACGCCGTAGTATCCTAAATTGAGAAACCAATCTCGATCAAAGAATACAGCCTAGTTGCTTTCCTGGATATTGAGGGTGCCTTCGAAAATATAGCGCCAAATGCTTCTGTCCTGACTTGCCTGGGGATCGACCCTCGAGTGATTTCTTTCATACGCCAAATGCTCAGATGCCGGCCCTTCGGTATGTCAGCAGAGGAACTCCACAAGATAGAGTCCTCTCCCAACTGCTGAGATATATGGAGGAGAAGGGAGGCTGCAGGGTCAAAGCGTATGCGAGCGATCTGGCGGTTATTGTGAATGGCAATTTCCCAAAAACTCTAAGCGATATTATGCAAAGCGGACTGAGGAGTATAGAAAAGTGGGTCATTGATGCTGGGTTAGGCATCAACCCAAAAAAAACTGAACTCGTTCTTTTCACTAGATAGTATAAAATCCCCAACACAACACCAAATATATCAGGAACGGACCTGTGCCTTGCTGAGTCTGGAGTCTGAAGTACCTGGGACTCATCCTGGACAGAAAATTAAGCTGGTAACAGAACTCAGAGGAAAGGATGCGAAAGGCGTATTTTGCCCTCTATACCTGCAAGGGAGCGGTAGGCCGGAAATGGGGAATGCCACCCAAAATAGTGCATTGGCTTTACATCACATAAAACCCTATACTTCTCTATGGGGTTGTAATCTGGTGGCCAGCACTTAAGATTAAGTCAATTATTTCCAAATTCGATAGAGTACAAAGGGCAGCGCTCTGTTGCATCAGCGGAGTACTTCGTACTACACCAACTGAGGCATTGAATGTTCTCTTGGATCTACCCCCCGTTGACATCATGGGGTTGCAAATCGCTGTCTGCGCCGCGGTTAGGCTGCAAAAGTTGTCCGAATGGACAGGTATAAACCACGGGCACACTAGCATATTAAGAAGATTCCGTATACCGGTAAAAACAGATTACTGCATATCATTCACTGACTTCATGGTAGACTTCCAGGTAGTTTTCTCGAATAAAAACCTTTGGAAGGGGGTAACACCAGCAAGCGCCGAATCGTTTCATTTTTACACGGATGGATCAAAACTAGACAACAGGGTTGGTGAAGGGGTTCACTCGAACGAACTTGGTATCTGTAAATGCTTTCGCTTACTGGATCATTGTAGCGTTTTTCAGGCAGAAGTAGTGGCCATACATGAGGCTGTTAACTGTCTCACATCAGCGGCACTTTCGGATAAATGTATCCAGATCGGATAGCCAAGCCGCATTACAAGCCCTGGTGTCTGTAACAGTAAATTCTAAAACCGTTGAGAACTGCCGAAAATCACTTAACGTGATGGCTAAGCAGTTCTTTCTGAACCTGGTATGGGTCCCGGGCTTACCGGGTAAAGATATGGCGGGTAAGATTGCAAGGAAGGACACTTCCTTCTATATTGCGATATGCGATATTAGGGTGGCTTATTCCTGAGTAACTGGCCAATATTGTAGGATCATCCTTCATTTTAGATTGGGCAGAGCACACTTAGGTTCCAATCGTCGGGCATACTTTCATCCGACCATATGCAAAGAAGCTAGTAATCCATCGTCCCCGTCGATTTGTTGTTTTTGAAGCAGGCGATTTCTATTCGTACTTCTTTATAGTCGGGTAACATTTTTTCCATCGTCATCGATTGTGGAACCGGGTTCGTCATCTCCTGGTGTTACACTTTCACTGCTATTTAGCAGGCCAGAGAAGTGTTTCCTCCATAGATTCAGTATACTCTGGGCATCGATTACTAGATCACCTCTTTGTGTCCTACAAGAGTCTGATTCGGTCTGGAAACCTTCTGTAGGCCGCTGTATTTTTTTATAGAGCTTTCGGGCATTACCTTTGCTGGGCGGCTTCTCGAGCTCTTCATACTCACGCATTTCGGCCTCATTTTTTGTGTGCACATGCGTCTTTCTTCACTCTTCAATTCTCGGTATCTTTCAGATTGCGAGGTTGGCAGCTTGCCTTCTCTCCACTGCGACACGGCAGTCCTCGTAGTATCAGCTGTTTTTGGGACTTTTCAGAAATCCAATAGTTTCGTTTGCAGCTGTACGTAGGGAGCTTGAAATGCCGTCCTACAGTTCCCTTATACCAAGTTGCTCTCACATAGCAGGTTTACATGTGATTGCAGCTTTTCGACGTCAATATTTATTGAAGGGAGTTCTTTAGTTCACGGAAGCGGGTGCGCAACTCTGCTTATCGACTTCAAGGACACCTTAAACCGTATATGTCGGAGTGGCTGCACTGAAACTTCATCTCTTTTAGACCTGACCCTAGGCTCGATACAGGTGGCTTACCGCATCTCGAACAAGGGTTGCTCACGTTTCCAGGGCGCGTGACGTGTGCGCTAGCTTGGCTACCACCTATTACACTTATAAAGAGCAATTTGAGCGACAGAATGTAAAAGATAATAGTCGGTAATACTTGTTTTAACCTCATGCATATGTACTCTGGTGTTTCTCCCCATATTATTTAGTGTTGTTAGTACATTCACGTTTACATGCTTATGGTGATGAAATTGAATCGATTCAGCTAGCATGCCAACAACTGAGGAACTGAGCTCAATAGTGGTTTGGTGTACGGAAAGTTTACTTTGGCTCAAGCCGCAATAATGTTTGGTAAAAATCGTTGATAAGGATACCATTTTGGCTTGTGAGTTACCAAACCTGTTTATTAGATTTAATTGATTTAAATTAGAAGTCAAGGACTTGGATTTCATCACTAATTCCGGACTTTCGTGTGATGATCACGTTAATGAAGTCTTGAGTAGAATATTTTTAACTTACAGTAAATTACACTCTCGTTCACTGCATAAATTGAACATCGCCATCAACTCTGTTCCATGGTATTGTATGTACAAATATATATATTTTGATTATAGAAGTACGACCAGCTCTCATTTAGACGCTATTCTATACTTGGCTGTGATTTGCGAAATTTCTTTTTTATTTTTTATTTTTTTATTTTAAATGAAAAGATTATATATTAATGCACTAGTGACTTTAATTAAATTAAATTAAGTGACTAGATGGGCAGCAACAACTTTTACTGAACTTTACTGGATCGTGTTCGTTGAACCAAAAACCCAGCAAATTCGTGCTGAGAAAATTTCAACCAGTGAAAACCAGCAAGTATTATATGAAAAACAGCTAATTTGTGTATGATTGAGTTTTTTGTAAACAAAACAAAATTGTTTAAAAAATAAAACTCTACTAACCCTTCAATATGAATGATATACCAACCGAAAATTAGTGTCCAAATATAATCCTGCTAAAGTAAATTTAAAGGTATCAACGATTCAATTAATTTGTTAAAATACTCTTAATTGAAAATGTGATGGCAGTGGAGTGGAATCACACACACACACATCACACCCGCACACACCCAACTTACGTCGAGAAATTCGAAGTTAGAAATGTTGAAGGCATAGAATTAGAATATATTATTATTTCTTGTACAACGCAAGTTGATTTTGAATTTCTAGAAAGCGAAGTTGGTGTAACGCGAAGTTGTTGCAACGGCCACAGTGACGATAAGGCGTTCTTAATTAAACTTCCGGAAGCTACGACGAATACAAAATGAAATATAGGAAATATAGTATTAGCGGCATTTAGAAATAGAATCGAATAAACTCTATATTATTGTTGAGTAATGTGTAGGGCTTACACGAAAAAAATAATTCCAAACTAATTTTCGTATTACCAGCGTTCCTAAAAATCTAAGCGACAAATTGTTGCAAAGCAGGCTCTACATAAATATTCGTCCTTTTAGAGAACCATTAATAGAATTTGTTAATAGCTGGAATACAATACAGCTTGAACAAAATTAATTAATTAAAAATGTCATATAATTGCCAATTTTTTTAAAATATTTAAAAGCAAAAAAAAAAAACATAAGTAAATAAATGAACGGATTCAAACCGTCAAAATTAATAGCTGTTATACAACTTGCTGGCTAATTTTTACTGAAATCTCTCAACGAACACAGCTAACATGTTGATCCTTGAGAGCAGGCATTCTAAATTTCGATTCCAAACTACGTACATATGTGAATAGTTTGTATTCATAGGCGGAAGATATTTTTCGACTAACATATTGTTACGAATTTACTAAATCAACCTCGATTATTTTCTAGATCTTTCGGGTACGATCTCTTGATTGTTGAATAAAAACTCGCCAACTTAATTTGCAGTTTCTTTCGTTATAAAGAATTAATCTAATGTCCTTTATTTACTCCGTAATTCACAATTCAACTACAATACACTTTACTATTTACAGTCACTAGTATCAATTTTCACAATTTACTCTACTTAGATATAATCTCCAACGCGTTTACTTTACGACTTCACTGATGTTAACGCCAACGAGTTTACTTTATCACTAACTTGACTTGCAGCTGAGTGTCGCCTTTATATAGCAGTCGGCTGCTCGCAGACGAAAAGCGTAGAAGCATCGAATTGTTCGCTATGGAAGGTTCTTGTTTTATCGTTTCTAGAACGTCCTAGTTATCGGCTTCTCTCTTTCATCTGACATTTGCCTCGCATTTTCGCAACACTGCCCTCCACCTAAGTCTGATCAAAGAACGTATTGTTACGATTTTACTAAATCAACCTCGATGATTTCCTAAATCCTTCGGGTACGATCTCTGGATTGTTAAATAAAACTCGCCAACTTCATTTGCAGTTTCTTTCGTAATAAAGATTTTATCTAATGTCCTTTATTTACTCCGTAATACACAATTCAATTACAAGGCACTTTACTAGCTACAATCACTTGCATAAACTTTCACCATTTACTCTACTTAAATGTAATTCCCAACGCGTTCACTTTACGACTTCACTGATGTTAACGCCAACGAGTTCACTTTGTCACTAACTTGACTTGCAGCTGAGTGTCGCCTTTATATAGCAGTCGGCTGCTCGCAGACGAAAGCGTAGAAGCATCGAATTGTTCGCTATGGAAGGTTCTTGTTTTATCGTTTCTAGAACGTACTAGTTATCGGCTTCTCTCTTTCATCTGACATTCGCCTCGCATTTTCGCAACAGTATATTTAATTTAAATATACGTTCTTTGCCTGAGCCACTTCAATGAACAGTTCACAGTTCTTTTCCCTTCTTATTAATATACGTTCTTTGGTTATACGTTCTCTGATACATCTACAATAAATTGATGAACTGTTTCGATAATGTGAACCGCACATTAGGTTTCAGTAACGCTCAGAGAACGTATAACATAGAGAAGGTGCAAGTACGGACCAGAGTGGAAATTGTCAAAAAGCACGATTACTTCGTTTCACGTAATCGTACCACACTCCTCACATGATTCGCAAAACTTGCTGTTAATTAAAAGAATTGAGCGTAACAGTATGTTCATTTGTGAACATAATGTAAATTGATAACATTGAAAATAATTACGAAATTATCGCAAATTTTGCCGACGGCAATTCAATTTTTGCATATGTACAATTGTACGCCTAACTCAACTTAATACAAAATTGAAATATTCTCACTATCGTTTTTAGCAGGTCAATATCTACATTATACTTATAATTCATAGTTGTATTCCTATTAGAACGGAAACTATTTATATAAAACCTACCAAAATTTGATTGGGAGACATATGGAAGGCTGAACTTTCAAACTGCTCTCCTGAAAACTTTGAGAAATAGACTTACGCATGCAATCTCATTAGTATATGGAAAAATGCGTTTTTTCTGTTTTAGCTTGGGATTCGCACTTCATCCATAAAATCTAGAACTTTTGCATTTTGCCCAGCTTACAAGACAACTTGAATTTACTTGCTTCCCAATATGAGCTAATAGGCAAACAGCAAATTTAACAGCACGATGCCGACTTGCTTCAATTCGGTAGACAAAGTCTGAATTTTTGTCAAAGTCGCAAGAATTTGAAGCAATGCCAGTGTATGCCACATACCAATGTAGATTGTTGTTGCTTCACATTTCGGGAAGATCTACGATTTGCTAATTTTTGTTACGGGACTTTTTATACCCGGCTATACTATGTGACCAGAGTGCATTGGATTTGTTTTGCTAACGGTTTTAAAATAATCAAAGTAAGAATTTATAAACTATGTAGAAAACTTCGTGGAATGGTGATATACATTGATTTAGGAATGTTTGTCCCTCCGTCTCTATACACGATAGCTCGAGTAAGAACTGAGGTGTCTCATACATTTTAATATCAGCCGAGAATATCGCTTCCACTCGAATTTAGTGTTCCTTACATGTTTGTGGCCGTTCCAAGGAAGCAAATGTTGAGACGGGTAAGCGGAGCCATGTGAGCAGTGGTATTTATGAATGAACACATTGCCTTGTTGTAGGGCGCATGCGTTTATGAATGAAAATTTTGTGTTTTTCATGATTTCATGTATGTATGGGTCTTTCATATACATACAGTCCCCTTTGAATGTGTTTGTTTTTGACTTCAGCTCAACTTGAATTTCTGATTTTTGCAAATTTTGCCATCGTCCCGAAGAAGTCGTTCGTGGATGACGGGGTACAAGGGAAGAGAATTTGCAAGTTTTTGTGCATGTGGCTGTTTTTCGTGTACACATTGGCCTCTTTGAATGTATGTGTCTTTAACTTCAGACCAACTTGAATTCTGATTTTTCTGATATTTTGTCATCGTCGCGAAGAAGAGGTTTATGGATAGCGGGGTGAAAGAAGGAAGGGCATGCGAGCTATTAAGATTGTGTGCGTTTAACGTATACATATTGAATTGTTTGAGTGTATGGGTTTTCACTTTGTCGCAAGTTCAACATCAATTTCTGACTTTTGACAAAATTTTTGACCGAAACGGCTTGTTGGTGGAGGGAGCCAGGGGAAGGGATCTCACAATACTATGTGTGTATTTGTATTTTCTACATGTATATGAAGCTTTCAATGTATGGGTTTGTGATTTTTGCTCAACTTCAATTTCTGGATTTTTGCAAAATTTGACTTCGACTTCATGAAACTGTTTGTGGATGAAGAGTTGAAGGAAAGAGGGGTTTGCATGCATTACTTGTTTTTGTTGCTTTTATGCTTATTCTACTTTTCTTTATTGAAATCAATATTCTAGAATATTCTAGAATCTTCTGGAATGTTTGGAATATTTTAGAAATTTAAAACACAATCTCTCTCCTCTTATCTTGTGGACAGGGTGCATGCGGGAAGGCAAGGAAATTGCTTGCTGGGCAATATGAGGTAACAGGCGAACAGCAAATTTAGTAGCACGATGTCGATTTGTTACATTTCTGCAGACGATGATTGAATTTTTGTCATTGGCAAAAATTTGAAGAAATGCTTGTGGGCAATACTTGAATGTTACGGGTCGAAGGAAGAAGGGCATGCATACTACTGTATGTTGTTGTTGCCTCACTTTCCGCGACCATATTTGCTTCCGATTTTTTGTTTTTTTGTCAACGCAGCAAAGAAGCAACTCGTTATGAATGAACGCACTTTGATTTGTTGTAGGGCGCAGGCGTCTATGAATGATTATCTTATTGTTGTATTTGATTTCAGTTTTGAGCTTTTAGACAAGAGAAGTGTTTAGAGGGATGGAGTAATTTGTTTTCACATATGCATATGTTTGTACATAATAAGCATGTGAGTATATGTTCACATGTACATGCAAAAGGTCATCTAAAAGAAATTAAAATCATTAACAAATGATACTGTCCTTAAGAAATACACATTTATTAAAAATTTTTAAAATTTGATCAGTAATTAATTGATGATTTCAAATTTGAATTCAATTTGGTCATTTATATGTGATAAAAGTAAATAAAAGCGGCTGTTGATTTACATTTGCATAGATTTTAGTTCTCTGTTGTGTTTGAATACGCTCAATTCTGTTAATTTTTCATATCGAGGTGAAACAGAAATTTAAGACGAGAAGGAAATGACGATTACACCAAACGAAATTTTTCTGCCAGAAATGTCAGAAACGCTGGCTTTGCACCTTCTCTATGTTATACGTTCTCTGTAACGCTATCCAAATTGCCAAAGCAGCTGATTAATATTATTATTTAAGTGTTCTTTTAATTTTTTATATCCAACATTGAAATGATTAAAACGGAAAACGATGTTAAAGTGGACATCAAGTCTGCAAAATCTGAGAAAGAGCGCTCAAATAAGCGCACCCATAGGAAAGAAAAGCAGAAGCCTCAAACTAAGGTAAGCTCTAGAAATTATGCATATACATACATACCTATAATATGTATATGTTGTTTTATTTCAGATTGTTATTCGACACTTGCCACCAACCATGACTGAGGCCGATTTTCTTAAACAAATCGATCCCCTACCACCACATGATTTTTACTATTTCGCTGCAGCGGATTGGTCCCTAGGATTCGATGCTACATGCCGCGCGTATATATCTATGAAAAACTATGATGATGTATTCCTATTCAGGGATCGTTTCGATGGTTATGTTTTTGTGGATTCCAAAGGTGCAGAATATCCAGCCATTGTTGAGTTTGCACCATTTCAAGGTCTGAAAAATAAATCACGTCGAGTTGACAGTAAAGTGAGTACCATAGAGCAGGAATCTCACTATCAAAACTTTATAACCAAACTGGAAGAAGAACGAGAAGCTGCTAAAAGTGGTGAATGCAAATTAGAATTTAGTTTGGATCGAAAAAAAGAAGAAAAAATTACTTCAACCCCTCTACTACAATATCTCGCAAATAAGAAAGAAAAACGACGGGAGGATGCAAAACGTAGACAAGAAGAAAAGCGACGTCAACGTGACGAAGACAAGGAAAAACGAAAGCAAGTACAAGTAACAAAAATTATATCAAATAATGAAGGCGCTGCCGCTGGTGGGGGTAAAAGTAATAAGTTAGGTGTTGGTAAAGAAAATGTTGTTGGCGAGAAAAGTGGTTCACAGCAATTACATGAGGAGGGTAAAAGTTCACGATCTCAACGTCGAGCTGAACGTAATCAGAAAAGAAGGGAAGAATTTGAACGTAAGCGCCAGGAAAGGGAAAAAGTCCTTGAAGTGAAATCAAAAGTAGATGCCATTGCTGGTAGCGAGCGAAAGACGAAAGAGCAATCGCTACAAGGATGTAAAGCCGACGATGGGAAACAGCAGCAACGCAAAGAAGGTGGAAAACGTTATAGTGAACGTCGCGAACGAGATAGGAATCGCAACCGTAAGGAGAAGGAGAAGGAAAAACCACAATCGACTGGAGTTGACGGTATTCAAAAGAGCGAAAGTACAGCTTCTGAAGCAATGAAAGCTGCAGCAGTTGCAGCTGCTGGTGGAGAAGCTATAGTTAGCGAGTCAGTTATGAATTTTATACGTAGTGTGGCTACAGCAAAGGAGTTTGTTCCTAAACATAAGCAACAAAAAATGGAAGAACTCAAAAATACATCGTCTACGGAAAGCGTTGCACCAGCAAAAGTTGAAAGGGATCTTGATGACAAAGCATCAGAAGAAGAGCAGAAAAAGGAAAATTTTTTCGGAGAGGAAGACACGCGCACTCAAAAACAACGCAATGCAGATGAACAACGTCGTATTAGAAATAAGGTACATATAATTATATATGTATGATATACTATTTGCTAACAGTATTTTTTAGGATCGACCCTCCATAGCCATCTATCAACCAAAAGCACGTTTACGTATATCCGAAGAGCGAGATCCGATTTCCTCTCAGCCTCAAGGTAGTGTTAAGAGTGACACCCGTAGCAATCCCGCTTCGGATTGTGAAAGCATCAAAAAGGAAGAAACCAGAACCAAAAAAGTTTCCCGTTACTCTGAGCGTCGAGCGGAACGTCGTAATAACAAGGATAAGCAAAAGAGCTCTTCAGATTCGGCTGATTTGGAACCAAAAGTAGAAGCGGCGCAATCGTTCAAATTAGACGATATCCCTGGTACTTCTGAACCTTTACAAGACAATGAGAAATAAAAATATTTATGTATGTATAGCTATAAATTTCCGTATGAAAAGTAAATGTTTAACTTCACATCCGATTTCGGAATTACAAAAAAAAGCTTACTTTTGAAAATATAAATATAATATAAACATAACCTTTATTTATCTGAAAAATAGTTTTATTTTTGTGTTATTTATATAAAGAATGGCTTCAATTATGAAAAAGTTCAAATAGCGGAAAAAAGTTTTCAATCTAGTTTTTTTAAGTTCGAGTTGTTACTTCAGATGTTATTTAGCGGATAGATTAAATTAAATTTGTCGGGATATATTTAATCGACTTTTAAATAAACAAATAACTAGAAAATTAACCTATCATTCACAAAATATCATTAAACCTGAAACTTAGATATGGCGAAATCCATTCAGCTCTTCATCTCCGAAAAATCAATTCAAATTTTTTGTAAGTCAATTTCTTCTTTTTGGTACTTTCATACAATTTATTAAAGACGGAATACAATGATCCTGGAAGGTATACAAGTAAATAAAAAACTCTTTTCCATTCTTATAAGTCATTTACTAGATGAAGTCCCCTATTAAGCAAAGATTAATCTCAGATAACAACGAAGTCGAACGAAGAATCAAATTACTGCATCATGGCCTAAATTACATGAAATTTATTGTGTGAAACGTTGAATATAATTAAAGCTGAGCGCAAAACTTTCGGTTTCGGCAGGTGTGGTGCTAACAGCAACAACGTTCGTGAAATTATCCATTAGTTGAAGATAGGAAGATATTCTATGGCCAAATAAACAAAGGTCGGGCAACGAAGGACATTGAACTATTCAATACCAATATAAAGTAATGATGAATAATTTCATGGCTGCAATAAGCAATTTTTTTGTAATTAGTCAGTTACTAAGCCTGTTATTATTTATACAATAAGTCTCTTTAAAAACGTATAAAGCAGTATTATGAAGCAATATGCAATATTATTATTTTACTTTTATTTTAAGATTAATTTGATTTTATTTGACAAAATTCATTAAATTATGATTTTTCTCAGTAAATTTATCGGGTGGTCTCAATAATTATTTCATGAGTGTCCAAGTGAGAAACCTCAAACTTCATTGGAGAATACATGTCAACAGAGGTATTCGTATCCAGAGCTTCCACCTTCGGTTGTACAGCACCAGTACACGCGCTTTCATGCATTTCAAAATCAGCAAAGTTATCGTAAATACTTCGGCAAATTGCGCATTCGAATGCTCTACAAGAATAATAGGATAATTTTATTTGTTTAACAATAACTAAAATATTCTCTACTTACACTGGTTGAGTTGCCAATTCCATACTTTGGCGCGCTGCAGCTGTGGCAGCGGCAACAGTAGCTGCAATATCTACATCAACCCCTTCTTTTACATGAGATTGCAAATGCTTTTTGAAATTACTAAGTTGTATGAAAGATTTTTGACAAATTGTACAGGCATAAGGTTTTGCATTTAAATGACCCATTATGTGCTTTTTAAGATTTACGCGCTGAGAAAAATAGCGACCACAACGCTTACAACGAAATGGTTTTTCACCGGTATGAGTTAGTTGATGGCGATGCATATTACTTTGTTGAGTAAAAGATTTGGTACAGAAATTGCATTGATAAGGTCTCTCCCCATTATGCACAGAAAAATGTCGTTGTAGATTAACAGCCTGAGCGAAAGCCTTTTCGCAAATATGGCATACAAATGGTCGAACATCGTTATGAACTTTCATGTGGCGTTCCAAATTACCGCCATTGCAAAAAAATTTGGAACACAGTTTGCACTCATACGAAGATTTTGCTTGAAAGTGAACTTCTTTTTTGTGCAACAGCTGATCCCTTTTACATGAGAAGGTCTACATAAAAAAAATATTCATTAAGAACATATTTCTAAAAACTTCGTGCCGTAACAAGATCACTTACTTTTTTGCACCTTTTGCAATTATAGGTAGGCGTAGGTGCTGGCTCTTCAAATTCATCTGGTGCAGACATATTACAAATTATTGTGGACATAGAACAAACTATTTACTTCTTTTCTTAAATATGTAGCGAACGCATGTTAACCTTTCTGTCGTGATGAAAATATTAATATGCACCATACACTACAAAGCAATCGTATAAAACTATTCCACTGACCACATAGATATGAATGTTTATAAGACTTTATTCTAGAAGAATAAATATTCTAATGCGCTCACAATATTTGCCAAACAAAATAAGAAAATTTGCTGGCCCAATACAATAAAAGCCGCAATTTTTTTCGTATTAAAAACACAGTCGAAATCTGACAGCTTCAATATTTTTCAAGGAAAATGAACTCGCAAGAATATGACATTTGCACTCGCAACAAATAAGCAACGAGTGCAGCCAGAGTGCAGCTAACTGCCATCAGCGTTGCCATTATAGCTTTTTTCCAGCTTGATTAATTTTTTTATTGAATTTATCAAATTACGTGTATCAGAGAACGTAAATACAACGAGAAGTGGTTCTCTGCCTGTTCACCACATTTTAACAGATTCTAGCAGAATTGTGCTCAAAATAGTAGAATGAGTACAATAATGAGAATTTCCATGCAAACTAAATGTAAAATTGATTAAAACCTATTGAAGAGAAATGTAAACATGCATACGGGTATTATCAGTAATTTCTGATATCAAGCTCTCTTATATTAATTTGCAAATTTACACATTTTTGTAATTTATTATTTTATTTTTATTTACTTACATATTTCTAAGTTTTACTAATAATTTTTGAAACATAAAACTGATGTCAGTCATGATAATACATAAATGAGACATAATAAAACATATTTGATTAAATTCTTTCATTTATTATTTTTTTGGGGTAAATATCGAAATAAGTAAACAAGTCAATATTCATTAATTCATTTAAACGTATGAGGGTATGTACATCAAGCAAAAAAAAGCCATGCCATCACAATGACAACATTATTTGTCATGTCCTTCCCAAGACGAACAAGAGAACTTAGAATAATATTTTAATATTTTTGGAACTTATTTCTTTATTTCTTCTTTCTGCTAACTTTATCAGTGGCTGTTATAGAAAGCATGGTGAATCTCTTTCCCAAAGTTTTTCAGAAAATGTTCGAAGTTGGTTCGATGTTGCAACGAATTTGCACCTTTCGTGTTCTAAGTTCTCTGAAGCACCTCCCAATTGCTGCGATTCAGATCTTCTGAGCCGGGCCGGATACAACATAATTCGCATGGATCGCGAGCGAAGCCATGGTGGGGCCTAGCGTTCATCCTGCACAACATCGTGCAGTATCGTCTTATCGACGGCGACGTCGACCGCAGGGATACTACCCTAGAATGTCAGGGCATAGCTATTCGTTCAGGCGATGCCGAGCTCGTGATATTTAATATATACATTCCTCCAGTTAGAAGTTGCCCAGTAGAATACACCCCTGATATAGGTGCGCTACTCACTGGTGAAAGCCGTTTGGTTTTGGACAACTTTAACGCGCATTCTAGCCTATCAAATGACCACAGAGGAATGGAGCTGGCAGAACAGATAGACGATTCGAGATTCTTCACAAAGAACGACAACACCCCCACCAGGTTATGGGTAATGGTGATCTGTACTGACACTAGTATCGGACCACTTGCCCATACGAATCTCGATTGACAGGCCTCCCGACTTCGTTTCCGCGGTTCATCGGACGTTTGTTAACTTCAAAAAAGCTAACTGGCCCGGCTTCACGGAATTCCTCGAAAACGGCTTTAGTGCTCTATCCACTCTATCAGACATCACCACTGGTGAGCGTTTATTCCGCAGGGTCGTCGTGACCGCTGCCGCCCGCTTCATTCCGGTAGGCTGAATTGCGGAAATCCGAACAAATTTTCCGACAGAAGCAGCGGTATTAGCATCCAGGCGCGACACCCTCCGAAGCTCCGATCCCGGGAATCCCCTAATCAGGGATTTAAACGCGGAGATTCGTAGAGTAGTCAACAACCACAAGTGGGAGGAGCACTTAAGGACCTGCAACCTCTTCTCTAAGGGAACCAAGCTCTGGGTGGAAATTTCATTCGGTTATCGCGCCTCGTCGGACCCGAAGAAGTGCCCGAGCTATTTTAGCCGGCTTTTCACACTGCATCCTTCGGTAGACAAAGGGAAGAGACTTCCTGAAGGTCTTTAATTTGTCTTTGACCACCCTAATGATACCTGACGCGTGGAAAATGGATAGGGAGGTCCTGCTACTCAAAACCGGGGAAACCAGCCAACAAAGGTGAGTCTTATCGGCCGATAACTCTTCTCTTCCCAGTAGCGAAGACACTTGAAGCCTTACTGCTCCCGACCTTTACTCACCAGATGCGTCCAACAGCACATCAGCATGGCTTCCGAAAAGTGCACAGCACCACAACAGCACTAAACGCCATAAACACCCACATAGTCCCCTAATGTCCTGGTAGCACTGGATTTGTCAAAAGCTTTTGACACAGTCAATCATTCAGTGCTACTAACGGACATTGAGGAATCCTCATTACCACCGGGGTTGCAAAGGTGGGTCATGGTCTACCTGAGTGGTCGACAATCATCGGTAATATTCCGAGATGAAACATCGAAACCCAGAAAAACTAAACAGGGGGCTCCGCAGTGTGGTGTCCTCTCCCCCCTACTGTTTAATTTTTATATTTCCAAGCTCCCTCCCCACCAGAAGGAGTTTCCCTAGCCTCGTATGCCTATAATTGTACGATAATGGCGTCCGGCCAGGATATTGATGACCTATGTTCGAAAGCGAACTGCTACCTTGCCGATCCCTTTCACTTCTTTTCTGCAAGACAGTTAAAAATAAAACCGACTAAATCCTTTTCGAGAGCTGGACGAAGGTGTACAGGCTTGGACTAGATGTGAAGGTCGATGACACAAAAATCCCGGTAGGCTGATAACCCAAAGATATTGGGAGTGGCAGTAGACAGCCTGTAGTCCTTCACTCCGCATACGACCGCAATTGCCGCAAAACTCCACAACAACTAACTACTCAAAGCGCTAGCCGGCAGCACCTGGGGTAAAGACAAAGAAACTTTGCTGGCTACTTATTGAGCAATTGGCCGGCTACAGGCTTGACAGAACACCGCCCTCAGGGCTGCGACGGGAAACCTCCTGTTGCCGCCGGAGCATCACTTGCACAGCGAAGCCTCTATGCTACGAGTTAAGGAGCATACCGCAGGGAGCACCCCAATAGGCACCTAATTGAAGCTGAACCTCCACCTGGTCATATCAGAAATGGAGTGCTAGATCTAAAGCACACAATCCAGCAACATGTGCAACAACCGCTGGACAAGACGGCGTACAGACAAGCACTGAACGCCATTCACCAGGAGTCAGTTAACACCTTCAAAGACTCCCTTCCAGTGAATGACATGCTCGGAGAAAAATCACTATCCATAGCAGACAACGAGCTCGAGGTGCCTCGAGAGACCCGCATGATCTTGGCACTACTCTGGTCTAGATACTGTAGCAGGTTAAGCTCCTACTTATCCAGACTAAACCCCAGTATATCCAACGTATGCCCTGCATGTGGAGAGTCTCCGCATGACACTAACCAAGTCTTCACATGCCCTCTCAAACCAACAAAACTAACCCCCCTCTCCCTTTGGTCCAACCCCGTTGAGACAGCTCGTGTCCTGGATCTCGCATTAGATGACCTCGGCGACTTATATTAATCAAACCTGTGCCTAAGCGGGGTTAGCGAACCGCTACAACAACAACAACCCCACAAATGTTCTCAATCTGTCGTTGATATGCTTAAAATCACTCTATGAAAATGGGTGGAGTGGCCCGCTATTTTATTTGGGGAAAGCAGCCAAAATGGGAGAATCATATCGGATAGTTCATGACCTTAACAAAAACCGATGTTGTGAACCACGAATTACCACAGTGATCTATATTTAGCGGTAGTGTTTCAAGGTCAAAATTCAAAACTGTAAAATTGAGTACAGGGTTCCGTGCCAGGTTGGTGTCCTCTCCCCCCTTTAATTTTTATATTTCCAAGCTCCATCCACCACCATAGGCCGATTCTCTGATCTCATGGTGATAATTACTCGATTATGGCGTCTGACCGGATAATGATAATCTTTGATCGAAAGTAAACCGGCTTGAACCGAATATGAAAGTCAAGGACGACGAAATTTCCACTAATAAGCAAGGCGTATTTTCCGATCACACTTCTTACCAAAGTGAGAGCTGCAAGAAAATTATGAAATCGCTAGTGGCAGCACCTTACTTACTGGCGTAGACACCGTTTTCACGATTATAGCCGAAGTCATTACTTTGCGTTATTTGTTTCTTTTTTTTCGTTGTTTGGTGCCAATTGGACGAAGTGGAGGTCGTCCTCTTCCTTTGCTTCCACCGGCGGGTAATGCATCGAAAACTTTCAAAGCTGGAGTATTCTTATTCATTCGGGTCACATGACATATCGCAGGACGCTAACGATAAGCGACTTGTAGTTTGATTTTCGTTCAATTTTACTTTTCAATTGCCTACTCAGTCCGGAGCAGCACCTGTTGGCAACTCCAATCGGTATTTCTAGGTTTCTTAAGCGGAACACTTTAAAATGCGTTTGATATACATATAAGTTGTCGCCCGCTCTTTGCTTCACAAGTCTACTTACTTGCCACTTGGGGCCACCGCTTCCTGGAACTTTATTCAACCAGTTCCCAGTGGCTGTGTGAAATGATCATGAAACTTGGCAATTAGATGATGCTCTCGAGTTCAGAAAGTCTGACTTTTAACCGGACACTCACATCTTGCAACCAGAGACCACGGTCTTGCACAACAGAATTTGTCCCTCTTCATTCCCTCCCCTTTTTAAGTAACAAAATGTTAAACCACATATATCTTTCTCATCAAGTTGCACCACTACATTCTTTTAGTCCTATGGAGAAATAGCAAAGTACAAAGTTTCTCTGTAGAGAAGACTAGATACATTGGGGTAGTTGTTATTTCCACTGGCATTGATTTAAGTATTTGCCAACAGTCTCATAATTTTTTTTTTTTTATGGTAAAGTCAAGGGAACTGAAGAAAAAAAAAACAAATTGATTAGCGCTAAAATTATTTAGTTACTTTATTTGCAATTATTACATTTTTACATGTACTGATTTTCATAAGTCTACTATTTATTTATATCAATTACTTCAATTGAATATCTGTTACGATGTGGGTGTTAAAATTTACAACATACACGTCCATATGTATTTAAAATGAAAATTAAATGTATACTAACATACATAGTTCCAATTGCAAGTTTTTAAAATATCATGCTGCTTCCTCCAGCCGAGATATAAATAATGATTTATTTATATTTAAGAAACGGTATATATTGTTATTTAATTATATAATTAAAGAGCTCATGTCAAAGCCCGTCTTTATTCTACACTTAATTTATGTATTAAAATTACACTTTCAGTCAAAATGTATAAGTCAAACTATACACATTAAAATATACAAATAAAACAATGTAACTATTAATATAAAACAGGAAAAATAAAAACCACAATGTATATTATATACAATACACAGTACACAATATCCAGACAAAAGTATAAATATGATTATTTGACAAAATATTGTTTAAAAATATTGCTGACAATTTTTCGTTGTGGTAATCCCATTTAAAAAAGTTGACCAATTTTTTAAGGATTTGTATATACGACCGATTTTTGGTCATGCACCGATTGAACGTTTAATTGGCACAATCAATCATTTCACTTTTCAAATATATTATCAATAATTTTAGAGTACTTTTTTACCAGACGTTGATTTTCTAAGAAGTTTCAGAAATTAATTTTGAAATAATCATATTGTCAATGGCTGGTTTACTGCATACTGTGATACAAAAGTTGTATAATTATATTTCGAGCAGCTATATTTAAAACCGAGAAGCGACTAGTAATATTTATTTACAGAGAGTGTTGCGCTATAAGAAATATTCAATCACATTCTTCAAAATAATTTATCATAAATGTAAAAAAAGCATAATGTTTAAAATAAAAATTTTGAACTAATACTGGAAATAATAGCATAATTAATAAATTATAGTTAACACATTTTGAAGATTGGAGTTTTATTCATAGTGATAAAGGCTTGCGTAAAATTACCAGCCGCTTGCAAGTCCCCTCTATTATAAATTATTTTATTTCAAAATAAAATACATCACTATTTTTATTTCAACCTACAATATATTTTGCACATACGTGTATGTATGCTGCATCTTTGAAACGTAGAGATTTCTCCTCTCGTTAGTCTATGTCGTGCGTAATAATATTTATTTCTAAGGTTTTCTTGTCACACAAATAATTTCATATGCTACTAAGCTAAAAAGTCCAAATTAGCTTAAGTTTACTTTGCTGTTTTCTGTTCAAAAATTCTAACAAACTTTTCGTTTTTAAATACTTTTTGTTCTATTGCCTTGTTAAAAAAAAGTCTAAGCAATTCCCAAAGTTTGAAATTAAGTTTAAGCTAATTGCAGTTTAAATGCGTTATGTACATGTTGTTGTTGTGTCTTACTTTAATATTCAACACAACTCGACACATACATATTCATATTGCCCAATTTTCATAATAACTAAATGTATACATATTTGCACATACCTGTATTTATACAAATGGTAAATTCTTTTCTTAAATAATGTGTATTATGCAATTTATAACTATACATATATTTACCTAAATATGTATGTATGTGTTTTGGTTTAATATTATCTAAAATATTAGAGCGTTGCGTTTATATTGCAGTTTAGCCATTCGTATTAGCAGCCATGTTTACCAAATAGTCGAATATGTATTAATTAACGTTAGCTTAAACACAGTAAATATCTCTATTTTACTACAGTCATTTTGTTGGCACTTAAGCATCTATTGGAAAGAAGTCTTTAAGCAGCGTTGTGCGACGCTTTTCAGCAATGTCCATTTGATTTTCCAAATCACCCAGATCTGTTGTTTCGGCACGTTCAATCTTCCAAGATAGATTCTCAATTTCAGCCTCAAGTTGTGCCTTTAAATATAAAATTTAATCAAAATGGGGAAACTTTTTAACTTCACAGTACAACTAACCTGCTGATACTCGAATAGATCCTTACGCGACCCACTCTCCATGTAGTACGCATATGGATATGTATATTGAAGCGTATACCGACATTTCGCTAACAAAGCTGCGGCGTTGAACAAATACTGCCAATCAATCCAGGTTCCCCTTCCCTTCATGACTTTCTCATTAATACGATCACGTAGCCGATCAATGGTTTGTTGTTCTAATTGTAAGGATTTCGAATGGTTTTCCCATCGTTCATAATAATGCAAATATTTTTTTAAAGCTTCACGAGCTTGCACATGCACCGATTCGTTAGCAATATTCGGATTGTCTTTATAGCGGGAACACTCATAGTATTCGGATCCGTGTGCCTTCCAATCACCCAAACACATCCAACAAAAATCATGCTTACAATTGAAACATTGCATGTGATTGCAACCTCCGTTTTTTTCTATACAAATGTGACATTTCGGGCAGTCTTTGGTATTGGCGCTAATATAATTTGCTGTCTCACTGTCATCTGCACATTTTGTCAGCCATTTTTTAATAATTATACAGTCTGTGGGTGCGTGATAATCCATGCCACATTTGAAACAAAACGATGTATGACAGCAAGTACAGATAACACGTTTCGGACAAATCTCTGATGAGCGCACTATAATTTGGCAATTTGGTCCGGGGCAGTAACGCAATTGCGGGTGTGACCTAACGTAGTCTTTAAAGGCAAACTGTTGGTATTTGTCACGCATTACTGGGCGTGTCACTAGTGTAAGTACTAAGTCTTCGGGAACCCGAACATTACACATGGGGGCCATGCAACCGATTTGTGTAGAAATACCCTGATATATTTGAGTGTCGAAAAACATTGACCAACAGTCTTTGCAAAAAGCATGACCACAAGATAGGCTAAAGAACTTTTCGCCTATTTGTGAACTAGCACAAACTGGACACATTTGGCTGCGTTGGGACGTAGTGTCACTGCCAGGTGCCAACATGTTGTAATTATTGTAAATACCAGTCGATAATAATGCGCTACGAGGCGAGTCATTACTACTACTACTACTGCTACCGCTATTTATATTACTGAATGCAAGTGCTTCTTTACTGGTGGATGGTGCTAACGGGTCAACTCGACTGACCAATATAATAGGCGGTTTAATACGAGCGGTTATAAATAAAGAATTTGCATCTTCTCGATATTTATCTACCACTACTTGATTGTCCCATTGATGTTCCAGTAGTAGCACTTTTGATAGTGAAGGTGTTATGTTCAGAACTGTATTCAGTTTTTCAACCGATTCGTTGAGTAACTTTTCCACCTCTTCCACGGTGAGGCAAACATATTCAAAATACTCGGGGTCAGTTTTTTTTGGATCCAATCGTTCTACATCGCAATCTTCACCTGAAAAGGGCAAAATTAAAGCATTCATATTTATTCCAGCAAACACATACAAATATATCAAATTGAAAAAAATATAGTACACCAGCTTTGCTAAATTGATTATAAGTTACAAGGTATGTTATTATAACATTCACAAATATATGTATGGCTATAGACTTCAGTTTGTCTGAGTTTTGAAGGGGTAATTTAGATATAATTACGTTGAACATTAAGAGTAGCAACGGTTCGAACAAAAATATTTCAGATAATATAACTTTCTATTGGTTATAATTTATCCTATTCCTTGTATCGATTATTGAAAAAAGGAAAAGGTTTTTGGCTTAGCAATTGACTGCTGCTGGGTGCGAATAGCCCGTAGTGGAAACATTCATCGAAGTAAATGGACATTTCGGTCGATTACCAAAATTGAGCTACGTGGGACGCAATGTAACTGAAAATTCACCATTACTGTAAGTCTTTTATGTATGTGTGTTACGCATCTGCGTCAAGAAGTTTTTAAAACAATAATCAATTTCCAACCATGCATGATAGGTACGGACAAAAACGATAGTACACGCAATCCCTTATGTACTTTTAATCTTCAAGCCGTGCAGTCACGTAATCAGCCGCTTGCCAGTCGAGTGACGAAAGCATAGATTAATGGTATTACGTTGTTGCATACAATCAGTTTTTATTCACGTGTAAATGCATATTTTGTGTTGATAAAGACCTCAGCTCACTAAAATAATCGCGAAGATACACACAGCATATATATTTTTATATTGACTCTTTATAAGCCGTGAGAAAATTTTCCCTCGAACTTCTCCTTCAATTTATATATGTCCTGATATTTGTAAACCAAATCGAGTGCCTAAAGAATTTTCTGAGATATTTTCGAACTAAAATTTTAACTTAGGAAATATAGTAAAATTCGTGAAGAATTTATTCGTCCTTAAAGCTAGAGTGCTTCCCGACGTTGCTCTCATAGAGCATCTTTGTGCTGTTGTTTCAACATTTCTACATCGAACTCTTCTCATATTTTTTAATGAACTGAACCAAGTGCGTGGCTTGGCTACGATAGTGAAGAGATTTAAGATTTTAGAATATCGGAGAAAACAATCTGCTATGTATATAAATATATAGAAACCAGCACACAAATACGCTGGGCGACGTATGATAAGACCTCTGCAAATCCTGGCAGAAGATTCTATTGAAGTTGGGATTTAAAGTATGTAAAGTTTAATTAATATTATTTTCTTTTTTTATTATTTTAGCCGTCTACGTTAAGCTTCTGAGTGTGGCTACGCAATTCATGTGCTAAAAGATCGATTGAAAGAGTAACCCTTAAAGTAAAAACCTGTCTTCTGGCAAATTATATAAACATAATCTCTCCTTGTTTAATTTTGTCTAGTGTGCTCATCAAAGTTACAATTATTTAAAATATCCTTAATAAAAAAATTTTTTACATTAATGTATATTATAACCAAGCAACAGATAATATATTTGCTCTTTTTAAAAGGTTTCCAAAATAAATTATTTTATTAACATGCTTACTAAAAATACACATTTAATAAATTAATATTACGAACGCCGGCGCAAAGATTTGATAATTTGGTAAGCAAGAAATCCATTTGATACAAATTGTTCATATCACTAATATATCTAACTTTAACTTAATTCCAGATTTGAAATCAACTTAAGCTATATCTCTTTTTTACATACCTGAATTATAATAATCCTCGTATTCGCAATCGTTGTCCGAATACTCCATATCCGAATCGGCTGACATTTTTGATAGCAGGACCCAAATCTCTATGTACTGCTTTAATCAGTATTAATTTAAGATTTGTAAAAAAACTCTTTTAATATTTCAAGTTATAAATTTTCTTATAGAGTAAAGTTGCTTTTTTGCGTCCTGTACATGTATGTGATTGAGGGTGGCGACTTGACTTTTCCACAGATTGTATTGCAAATTTTTATGGTTGTGTATGTACAATCCTCACGAAACAAATGGGAAAAGGGTAAAGTATACACTTTGCGGGGGTAGTACTCACAGCAGGAGAATTTTTTGTTAAAGCTATCAATAAACTATATGAGAGCATATGTTATATATCACAAGGTGAAAATATTTAGTCATATTTTCTGTGTTGTTTTCCATATGAATTTCATTTCAATAACATAAGCGCTTAGGCATGTTGATAAAAACTGGTCCTTTGTTCTATCCATACAGCTTACAATACGCTATTCCCCAAAATCCATTTACAATTGCTTCATTTCCTGCCACATTACAATGTTAATTACACTTTAACAGCTACACAACTTTCAATTCACTATATTTTGCACTTTCTTGTAAAACCCTACGGATAATAACAAAATCTTTTCTTTTAAAGGGACGAACAAGATCTTGTACTTTAGTAACAACAAAGCAAGATATCAAATTAAAGTGAAACAGAAAGAAATGGAATTTGTTAACCACAGTGCGACTCATATGGCAAAATTTGAAATGAATAAAGAAATCTCCAAAATAAATTAGCATACATAAAAGAAAGAGTTTCAATCGGTGATATAACGAATACAGGATTTCGCCATTGATACATTTTTAAGAAAGTTTCAATCACCCTTGGTTTATGGTAACATATTTTATCCAGAGAAAGTATTCTAGTCCATATACGTTCTCTGCTTGAAGTAAAATTTTTGATATTGCGGGAACAGAACTATTGTTTTGCTATAATGCACCTTGTGTGGTGACACTTCAAGGTTTATAAACATTTTTTATTGCAATATGTTAGTGTGGTAGGTTTTGTTTGCTATTTGGTAAAAAAAAAGGAATTTCGAATTTAGTATAATTTTTTAACAATTAATTTGTTTTAGTTAATTTTACGGTAAAAGGTAACCAAATATGTTTGAAGTGGACCCAATATCAGCTGACCACAAAGATGTTATCCATGATGTTGTCTTCGATTACTACGGGCGCAGAATGGCAACTTGTTCGAGTGACCAAACAGTAAAGGTAATATAGTGATTGTAAATCGGAATACAGACTTTGAATTAAAAACAATAATTTTAAGATATGGGATGAGGATGAATCGAATAAAATGTCAGTTTCAAGCAGTTGGAAAGCACATTCTGGGTCTATTTGGCGAATATCATGGGCCCACCCGGAATTTGGACAAGTTCTAGCCACTTGCTCATTTGATCGCACAGCTTCGGTATGGGAGGAAGTTGCTGGAGAAAAAGTAGCGGCCACAATGACACCTGCTCGTCGTTGGGTTCGTCGAACCACTCTGGTAGATTCCCGGACCAGCGTAACCGATGTGGAATTTGCACCCAAATACTTAGGACTATTACTAGCAACAGTGTCTGCTGATGGTATAATACGTATATACGAAGCTCCGGATATAATGAACCTTTCACAGTGGCCAGTGCAGCATGAAATAACAAATAAATTACCTTTAAGCTGTATATCTTGGAATACTTCCACCTATATGCTATCTTCTCATCTCTTAGCCGTAAGTAAAGTTGTCAATATTTATGCCCCTCTCGTTAAGTTACTAATTGTAGGCAGGTAGTGATGACACAGCAACGCACACGGGGAAAGTATTATTATTTGCATATAACGAAAGTGCCAGGAAATGCGCTAAAGTGGAAGCCATAAACGAAATAAACCAACCAGTGACTGATCTAGCTTTTGCTCCTGCGGCTGGAAGGCGTTTCCATATTTTAGCAGTTGCTAGCAAGGATTTGTACATTGTAAATATTCGTGGACAAAAGTACGTGTTAAAATAAGACTAAGAATTGTATTATAATTAATTGAATAACTTATTTAGAGAACCCACTTCAAATATGAAACTTGATATACAAACCACAAAGTTTAGTGATCATAATTGCCCTGTTTGGAGAGTTTGTTGGAACATGCTTGGCACGATGTTGATTTCTACCGGTGATGATGGATGTGTCCGGATATGGCGAAGTATTTTTAAATATTAGCAATATTTTTAGCAACATTTAATGATATTTTCTTGTAGTGAACTATACCAGGAACTGGAAATGTGCCGTTGTATTAAAAGCCGAAGGTAATTTCTCACCGTATGAACCAAACCTTAACTCTCCATCTTTCACAACTGCAATGGCTGCTACTACTAAATACTATAAAAAAGGAACGATTAGTAATCCAAATCAAGTCCCTTGGCACTAATACTAATTCTTAAGCTAAGATACATTTATATAAATTTAAATACATAAGTAAATAATAAAACACATTAAGACACATTCATAAGTTTTGTATGAGAAATTCTTAAATTTAAGAAATAGCTATCCTGGATATATTAATATTACCTGTTTACAGAAAAAATGCAATTTTATTTAAATACTTAATGCATGAATATCAAACGAGTCATACGTAAAATGGGTTTTTAGGCTGGACAATTTGATAACAAAGAGATGAAGTGTTTGAATTCACCAGTTAATCAGCATTCTTACAGCAACTACTTACCTTACTAAGTTTATTCTTGTTATAAAACTTAAAATCGAGTACAAGAAAGATTTCCAAAAATCCAGATTCGGAGCAGCAATTGTATTCGATTCAGATCTCGATTTAAGAAATGAACTTAATTTAACGTTTTCAGTTCATTAAACCGTTTCTATACCAAAACCAAATTCATGTGGTTACTATATTTCGCTAACCTCCGCAAGTTAACGCAATCCACGCAGCTATTTAAAAAATCTAAAAATGCATTGGCTCATAAATATAACAATATATAGAAAATTAGTAGTTATTCAAGATAGAAGCGGGAATTAATAGATTCGTAAATGAAAAAACACCCGACTTTTTTTTTAAATTTTTATTTTTATACTTCATTAAGTGGCATAGTTGTTTATAGATAATTTCTCTTTTTCCAAAAGAACACGTACCTATGATTGTTTGGTTTCAAAATTTGTTTTATTATACATGTGTAGTCAAATAAAAAATGTTAGAAATCAATCTTTACAGGAGCACAAAGTATATAACCATATAACATTAACACTAATGCCATGGCACTTGGTTTTGGTTAGTAATTGTACCTTTTTTATAGTACTTTGCGGTAGCTGCGGCTGATGTTGCCATTGTTGGAGAGTTAAGACTCGGCTCATAACTTGTATAACTTCCTTCTGCCTTTATTACAGCAGCGCATTTCCAATTTTTGGTATAATTTTCTGAAAAAAAAAATTAAAATTATATTTCGAGTAATTCAATTTATTATTTAAACAGACGTACTTCGCCATATCCGTACACATCCGTCGTCCCCAGTCGAAATCAACATTGTTGCTAACATGTTCCAACACACTCTCCAAACGGGGCAATTATGGTCACTGAACTTTGTTGTTTGTATTTCTAATTTAGTATTTGCAGACGCATCACTGTAAAATCTCTGGTTTAGGTAGTTTTACGATTAAAATAAAAGTACACTTACGTGACACCTCTTATGTTGACAATATACAAATCTTTGCTGGCCACCGCGAGCATATGGAACGTCCGTCCAGGATTTGGCGCGAAAGCTAAATCAGTTACTGGCTGTGTAATTTCATTGACTGTTTCAATTTTGACACATTTGCGAGCACTTTCACTATAAGCAAATATAAATACTTTTCCAGTATGTGTAGCAGTTTCGTCACTTCCCGCCTAAGAATATCTTTCTAGTATTACTTATAATCGTACAATAAATATAGTTTTTCACCGCCAGAAGTTGTGAAGATAACATGTAAGTTGAAGTGTTCCACGATATACAGCTTAGTGGTAGCTTGTTAGCGATTTCGTGCAGAACAGGCCACTGAGTGAGATTCATTATATCTGGCGCTTCGTAAATACGGATTATACCATCCGCCGATGCAGTAGCGAGAAGAAGTCCCAGGTATTTTGGTGCAAATTTAACATCAGTTACACTTGTACGAGAATCTGCAAGAGTCATACGTCTAACCCAACGACGGGATGTTGTCGGTAATGATGAAATTTTTTCGCCCACCACTTCCTCCCAAACAGATGCGGTACGATCAAATGAGCATGTCACTAAAACTTGGCCAAACTCTGGGTGTGCCCATGAAATCCTCCATATTGAACCGGAATGTGCTTTCCAACTGCTTGATTCCGTCCAATTGCCTTTCTCATCTTCATCCCAAACCTATAAAATAACATTTTTTCAACTTTTTGCCGGCGTATAACAGAACAATTTCATACCTTTACAGTCTGGTCGCTGGAACAAGTTGCCATGCGGCGGCCATAGTAATCAAAAGCTACATCGTGAATTATATCCTTGTGATCTGCTGTTATTAATTCTACTTCAAACATTTTCTGTTATTAAATTTCATAAAAACCGTAAAGTTTATGCTGCGAAACAGAGAACGAAGAATAATGTTGCGAAAATGCGAGGCGAATGTCAGATGAAAGAGAGAAGCCGATAACTAGTACGTTCTAGAAACGATAAAACAAGAACCTTCCATAGCGAACAATTCGATGCTTCTACGCTTTCGTCTGCGAGCAGCCGACTGCTATATAAGGGCGACACTCAGCTGCAAGTCAAGTTAGTGACAAAGCGAACTGGTTGGCGTTAACATCAGTTAAGTCGTAAAGTGAACGCGTTGGGAATTACATTTAAGTAGAGTAAATTGTGAAAGTTGATGCAAGTGATTGTAGCTAGTAAAGTGCCTTGTAATTGTATTGTGAATTACGGAGTAAATAAAGGACATTAGATAAAATCTTTATAACGAAAGAAACTGCAAATTAAGTTGGCGAGTTTTATTTAACAATCCAGAGATCGTACCCGAAGGATCTAGAAAATAATCGAGGTTGATTCAGTAAAATCGTAACAATACGTCTAATATAATAACGATAATTGCGATAATTTCGATATTTCTGTGGCGGGATTCTCTATTGTAATGGTGATTTTTTAGCTGTTATCTTTTTGGCAACACTGGTATAAGCAGCTGACGCACGTTTCGTGTTTTGTATCACTATCAAACGTCTTTAGTTTTGGTATATAATTTAACCATGAATCATCCTACAAACAAACAACGGGCGAGTTCCAAAGCGTCAGAATACTTTGTAATGATGCGGTTTCGCTACTGACCCCGCATTCTATAAATTTGCTTTGCAACAATAGTTTGCAAACTCTGACAAATCCATTGATTATCTGGGTGTTTATGGCGTTAACTACTGTTGTGGTACTGTGCGGAAGCCATGTGCTATTGGACTCAGATGGTGAGTGAATGTCGTGAGCAGTAAGGCATCAGGTGGATTCGCAACTGGGGAGAGAAGGGACAACGGGTGATAGGACTTCTCTTTTTTTTTTGACTGTTTTCCCCGACTTGAATCTCTTTGGGTCTGATGAAGTGCGGACACCGAATAAAATTTCCACTCGATTATCGCGTATCGCGATTTGACTGTAGCCCAGAGCTTGGCTGCCCCAGAGGAGAGGTTGCTCTTCCCACTTTTTCCGCTTGCGAGTATTAAGTACTCGCCGAATATCCAAGCTTAAGTCCCTGAATGGTGTCGCGCCTTGTTGCCAAAACCGCTGCTTCCGTCTGAATATTAGGGCGAGATTTTCGCAATCGGCTTGCCTATGTAAAGCGGGCCGTAGCGCTCACGAGAATCCTGCGAAATGAACGTACAATGTCAGTGACGTTTGATGGAGTGGAAGAGCAATGAAGGCGTTATCAGTGAATTCCCGGACCAGGAGCAACAACATATATATTAAATATCTCGAGCTCGGCATCACCTGGCCGGATAGCTATGCCCTGACATACTATGGTAGTATCCCCGCGGTCACCGTCGATAAGACGATACTGAACGGTTTTGTGTATAATGAACACCATGCTATCGCTCGTGGCTCTTGTGGATAATGTTGTATCCGGCCAGGCTCAGAAGATCCGAGCGAGCGGTCAACTTCGTTTCCTGGATCGCAGAAATTGACTGGTTCTTCCTGCTTATATAGTAACTACCTCGTCGATCTTTTCCTGGAGTTTGTTGCAGTTGAACTGTAACAGTCGTGTCTGTCTTGGGGGGACTTTCGTGATACGGGGGTGAAGGAGTAATGTATGGACGTAGTGTGTTCTTGCTGAACTACCCGTTGGATTGCATGCCGCACGTTGGTGTTGGTCCGAAGTGGAGCACGTCAAAAAATGGCACCAGCCACAGCAAGAGTTGCATCTGACTGATCTCATGCTCCGACGCACTATGGTCTGATACCCGGAAGAGACTGAGCGGGGGACTAGGAGCTGGTGGGTAGCGCTCGCACGGGAGGAGGAAGAGAAGCTGGCGATTGGTGATTGGAGGTCATGCTGCAGGGAGTTCCGTGAGACCGTAGAGGTCTGTTGGTTACCCAAAATGGGTAAGGGACCTGAAGGCACTGCAGTGGGGTCTGGGGGCGCATTTGAGTGCTGGCAGCTTGGGGCCACGTAACTTGTGGACCACTCACTATAAATCCTAAAAACTGAACAGACCTTAAGATGACTCCAACCATTACACTGGTTACATCTAACCGAGGTGGAGGAATAGTGGAGTCTTTTATGGTACACGCAGCAGAAATAATCCATCGGAAGAGCCTTGCCACTTGAACCCAACTGAGTTTCTTGAGGGAAACTGAGGGCAGAAGAATAATATTCATAGAAACAGGTAATAGTGTAACTTTTACAGCCTTTTTTTCATTTTAACACCATTAAAATGAATAAAGGTTCTAACCGGCTTGTGATTCTTTGCCTCTGCGAAAAGTTCTTAAATGTGCCCGAAGTATTACCTGGCGACTAGTCCGTTGCGTAAAACTCGTTAATCGAATCCATTGCTTCTGTTTTATTGGTTAAAGCATTAATAGAGAAAAGTATTTTCTTTGTATTTTATTAATTTTTTACCAGTGTGCAAAAAATATATGCAACTTCCTCACGAGTTTACCAGTTTACGTCAAGATTTACAATTTCATTTGGCACAAAAAATTGTAAAATTTTTCACACCTCATTTTACCAAAGGATAAAAAGATACCGATTGGCACACAGCAGCACACAGCACACGTCTTATTTAGAGGGTTGAGTAAAGATTAGCCAGCAAGTTGTACAACAGTTGTTTATTTTGGCGGTTAAATTGGAATTCCTTAATTTATTCCTTTAAGTATTTTAGTGAAACTGGCAACTATATGACATTTTTAATTTATTAACTTTATTCAAGATTTATTGTATGCCAGCAATTATGGAATTCTACATACTTTAATGCCGTAATTCGATGCAGATACCTATATGTTTTTTCTAATAGTTCTCTAAAAGGACGAAGATTTATGTAGAACTTGCTTTGCATCAATTTGTCGTATAGATTTTAGATTTACAGATTGGAGGATTGAAATACGAAAATGAGTTTGGAATTATTTTGCCGTGTAAGTCGTGCACCGTCGTCGCTTCAGGACGCTTAAGAATGCATTGTCGTCATTGTGACCGTAGCAGGAACTTTGCTTTGCTCATCCTATGACTTCAACATTTCTAACTTTCAATTCTCAACGTAAGCTGGGTGGTGTGCTTGCGATGATTCCATTCCACTGCCACCGCATTCTCATTTAACAAGAACCTTAACTATTTAATTGAATCGCTGATATCGGTATCGGATCGAGAGGGTACATTCATATACCTATTCATTGGCCGCAACAGTCGTGTTGTTAGTTCCACTTCCTCCAGACTGGATACGGAAGCGAAGCGACTGGGCCAAATAGTAAACGAGAACGAGATGAAATATATCCTATCAATCGCATTCGCGACTGAGCTCTTACGTCACTCTGTACTGTCGTTACTTTCAAACCGTAGATAGTTTCATCTATCTAGGGACCAGCATTAAATCTACTGTTTTTTTGGATTGAGTATGCAAAAGACAAATTGTCTGGTAGGCAGAAACTTGTAAAATTCGAAAAGTATTAACCAGAGAACGTAAAGACAACGAGAAGGTTCAATTGCGGAATACACCTTCAGAGAACGTAGAATATCGGGAAGGTGCAAAGCCAGCGTTTCTAACATTTCTGGCAGGAAAATTTCCCTTTGGTGTAATCGTCATTTCCTTCTCGTTTTGAATTTCTGTTTCACCTCGATATGAAAAATTAACAGAATTGGGCGATTTCAAATACACCAGAGAACTAAAATCTATGCAACTGTAAATTAACAGCCGCTTTTATTTAATTTAATTGTATTCAAATTTGAAATCATCAATTAATTACTGACAACATTTTAACAATTTTCGGTAAATACGTATTTCTTAAGAACAAATGATACTTTTTAATTTCTTTTAGATGACCTTTGCATTTACATATATACATATACTCAAAAGCTCATTATGTGCACACATGCATTTGCATATGTCATTCTTATACATTTTTTATTGTATCTATTAGTATTTAATGAGGCATCATAAAATATTCTATTTATAAAATATTATTTATTTTCAGAGGTAAATATCCAAGCAAGTCAAAATTCATTCACACAGTCATTTTAGCATATGAGCGTACGTGCATAAGTACATATGTATGTAGTAAGTACGCATGCACACCTGCAATTATGTATATACATACATAAATTTTTATGTACGAATGTTTGACTTCAGCTCAACTTGAATTTCTGAATTTTGCTAACTTTGTCGTTTATGAGAGCCGGGTAGAGGGGAAAAGAATGGGCAAGTTTTTGTGGATGTTTATGTTTTTCATATACACTCTCACATTGGTCTCTTTGAATGTATGTGTCTTCAACATCAGACCAACTTGAATTCCGATTTTTCCAAAATTTTGTGGTCGTCGCGAAAAAGTCGTTTGTGGACGTCGGGTTTGAAAGAGGGACGGGCATGTGCATTTTTAAGATTGTGTGCATTTTTCGTATACATATTAAAATTCTTCAATGTATATATCTATATTCTACGTTCTCTGTAATACATACATATATACAATGTGTCCATATGTAGCTAATTTCTATTGATTTCCAAAGTTTATTGGTTCTTATGCACTATTTATTTAAATGTGAAGTGAATAAAATGCCATGTCTTGATAATAAAAAAAAAAATTGCAACAGACGTGGGAGGCATTTTTGGTAGTTTAAGAGTTTCTCGAGTGTTAACTGATTGTATACATTTTCGTCACTCTAGCCAACAAGTGATACAAGCCCTCTTTTCCAGCCAGCTCTATAATTCTATTTTCTATTGTCTATTGTCCATAAGCCCGCAAGAGGAGTTCTCGAGAGATTGAAGTTACCCCCTGCTGGTTAGGGGCTTAAGAATTTACCCGGGGTAAGGCATGCCTGTCGTAAGAGGCGACTAAAATCCAATAGTTCCCGCGACAGTCGGGTCTTTATACCGGAACGATCCGGACTTTTATCCGGCCAATGACTGTCACTCCCGCAACATT